GCTGGTGTGTGAGTGACACAGGCTAGAGAAGAGATCGGCTGGTGTGTGAGTGACAGTCTAGAGAAGAGTGGAGCTGGTGTGTGAGTGACAGTCTAGAGAAGAGTGGAGCTGGTGTGTGAGTGACACAGGCTAGAGAAGGGATGGGCTGATGTGTGAGTGACACAGGCTTGAGAAGAGTGGAGCTGGTGTGTGAGTGACACAGGCTAGAGAAGAGTGGAGCTGGTGTGTGAGTGACACAGGCTAGAGAAGGGATGGGCTGATGTGTGAGTGACAGGCTAGAGAAGAGTGGAGCTGGTGTGTGAGTGACAGGCTAGAGAAGGGATGAGCTGGTGTGTGAATGACACAGGCTAGAGAAGAGTGGAGCTGGTGTGTGAGTGACACAGGCTAGAGAAGGGATGGGCTGGTGTGTGAGTGACAGGCTAGAGAATTGTGGAGCTGGTGTGTGAGTGACAGGCTAGAGAAGAGTAGAGCTGGTGTGTGAGTGACATAGGCTAGAGAAGAGTGGAGCTGGTGTGTGAGTGACACAGGCTAGAGAAGAGATCGGCTGATGTGTGAGTGACACAGGTAGAGGAGAGTGGAGCTGGTGTGTGAGTGACACAGGCTTGAGAAGAGATGGGCTGATGCGTTACAGAAGGATGTGTAGCTGTGTGGACGTGACAGTGACCAGCGGTGACACGATCGGCGTCTGTGAAGGACGCTACTGGGCAGTTGTAGGCAGTAGAATGCCTCTTGACCGCCTCGATGTGGCGCCGAACATCACAGATCCTATCATCTGCGATGTTACCCTACTATAATCGCGGATAATAGGTAGAAAGAGGGTTATTTGTATGTTTAAACTACTGCACAGTACTATACACGCAGCAATGCTTCTGTTGTGTATAAGCGATACAGGTACTACACATACTGTGTACGTACCCTTAACAAAATAAGTTTCCTTACTTTTTAACACAAGTACAGTACGATAATAAGAGCAGCACACCCCGAGTGACGTTTAATCGGTCCTGGGTCGCGCTGCGCTGGAAGTTACAAAGGTCATGCATGCCGTGTGTGTAAGTGATGCTATTTACTAAAACAGAAGAAACCAGTGGAGGAATAACGCCGGTTAATAAAACGCAGAAACTTTAGAAACAATGAGATACTTAAAGCGGCTTCCTGATCATCGTTTACATCATCTCCATCATCATCATCATTTGCCTTCGGAGTCCCATACATCGATCATTACGACCGTCATCTCTGTGGCTATTACTGTGATCTTGGCAGGGTAAGCGTGACACGGGAAAAATGGTACGGAAGGTGGTCCGCATCTCCACCATCACCACCTCGATTTCACTGTGTCATCACCATTACAGCGAAATGCCATTAATCGACAGTGATATGGGCTGAGATGCCCACAGATCCTGCAATCCGCCGTAGACTGCCAAATAAATAAAATTCCCCAGCACGGTGGTGTATTTAGCTTAATTTAGGCCTTTTTGGCCGTGTAACTCCATGAATCTGCGGGCGAAACATGGATTATAGGAGCGCGGAACGTGACTACGAGAGTTTTCGCCATATGGGGGTCACAGTTTAGGATTTTTGCATTTTTAAATGCTAAAATCCCTTACGTCGCAACAGTTCAACGTCAGCACAGCTAGTTTGTGCCAAAAGAAAGGCAATTCAAACTAATGTCGCCGAGTTGATGCAACATGTTTGTTAACCACGAGCTCCACCCCGGAGTTAAAAGACTGTGCCTCGCAACTTGTATCCTCAAATTGAATCAAAAATAAATTGCACGCAATTGCAGATAATAGGGTGGATTTACCACGCGAGTCCACTTATCAGCGAAGAGCGTTTCAATAGCTCCTATGTGCGCTGTGTTAGCGAACACGCTGCCAAAGGAGGATCAATGTATATTCATTTGAATGCATTTTTTATGTACTCACAATTTATTTCAGCACTGCTTTAAAAAAATATTATCTCCAAGAACCTGTAGATAATCTCGATGAATGACGCACGAATCCTCCCCTCGTCCGCATACAAATTCCAGTTAAGAGGAAGCCTATCCGCAACGAGGGATGGGAACATTGCGGAAAATTGTAACAGGGTCTGGATAATAATAGGGTGGTTTTTCCCCTTTTTTTCTGGCAACAAAACTGAAACCTTTTCACAAGGATTCATGGCTGCATTAACCACAATACCTGCAGTCAAAAATGCAAACAAAAAACATACTATGATAATAAGGTTTTGGTGGACCTACAGCTGCCGTGGATAATAGAGTCACGGATATGAAGAGTTCTGCTACAACAATTCTGCAATAATTTGTTTTACTGCCTGACAATCAAAAATATGCCTCTAAATCTCATATGGGTACGAATGAACTGTAGGGTCACATCTTGTGGTACTGCAATAGGAATGCAGTGTAAAAAAAAAAACACACATTTTAGTGGAAACAGATGTCTGACTGAAGCAAAACTTAAACACAAGAGCAGTGTACAGTGCGCACACTGCAGACAAGATCATACAAAATGCAATAAATTTACACATGGAGAAGAAAAAAAACCCGAAATGTAATTCATGCTCATTAATACAGTATGTACATGCAGGAATCTGAATTCGTTTTTCATCAGCATGCCAAACATAGATTAAAAGTATAATCAAATATAAACTGAGCTTTATTACTCCCGTAGTAATATTGCATAAATGATGATGGTACCGAATTGAATAAAAATGAGAGAGGAAAAACAACGTTGAGTACTGTGTAGGTAACAAGACAATTTAAATTCCTGTACTTTTCAAACATTGAAACGTTTGCGGCAATAAAGTACAAGCACTATAAAACGGAAAATGTAACAATTTAAGCTCGGCCAGGCCTCAAACACTTTCCTTAACCCTGTATTCTGGCCTGGAAGGTCCTGTCCACAAAGGCAACTCACATCAGGCCAGAGATCTAGGAAAGCAGCTGAGGCCCACTTAGAAATAAACTATTTTGCAACATGTTCCAAAAATCCTAATGTAAATTTTTTAAATGTTTAAACTGTTAATTTTAGATATCTATCATAATTTACCTTGGAGAGAAATCCAGTTATCTTTTACACGTTCCTCTTCACACCCATCCACCATGATATTTTCCTCCTGAACAAGACAAACTTGTTGTTCAGGTATTCCGCCAATGATCCTTTGAAACAATGTGGCATCATTTGAATAAATACACAGCTTTATTGCATTTCTTAAACAGCAAAATTAATATAAAAGTTACGCCTTCTCAATGATATATACCAAACATTGTCTGGAACACCACCCTACTGCACATTTGCAAACATTCAATCTACAACCTGCCTTTCACCAGGCCTTTGAGAGACACTGAGCTTTGCTCCATTATGCACATAAATGTATGCCTGTCAAATATTGTGGACATTATAAATTGCATTATTATAAAAAAAGTATGAAAATAACAAGATAATACGCTATGGAATAAAACCACCACGAATCTTAAAATAATGCGTTATCCCCGCGATTCACAGGAACTCCCGTAATGGAGGGTGTCAAAAACAATTCTATAGCTGTGAAAAATGTGAATATTGTTTGCGTCTAATTCCCCCCTAAACTTCGTGAGATATCGTGATCATGCCAGCCCGCTTCCAAGAAGCCTGCCACGTTCCAAAACACATCATCCAATTGAGATGTCTCACAACACAGACGGGAGTGATACAGGCATTAAAACAACAACAAAATGCCTCTATGTTGGTTCACGTGGCACAGACTCCACTGTGCTCATGTGGCCTATTGACCGGGAGACTTAATCCGCTTTGGATTTTAATAAAAAATATTTTGTGCAAAATCTGTAACTCTCGGCCCTCATGGTAGATTTGCTCCACTTATGTCTTCCCCCCAATTTCTTATTAAATAAATGACGATATTTATACAGTAATTTTTTTTACCGAATAGAACCAAAGAGTAGTAATTTTTTTGTTGCAAATTATAGGAGTGGTCAGTCACGTGCCATGCTACCCCTGTAAATCCCCACATTTGTCGTGGATAATTCTAGCGGCGTGGCTAAAACCTCTGAACATCGGCGATTTTTCTACGCAGAAATGATGAGTATTATCACGGATTACATGGTCTTTGATGCTTTCCCTCCACGTTACCACAGATTAATATAATTTTAATGGAAGTGCTTCTAAAGGTGCTGTACAAAGCAGTGGGACATGGGTATCGTGGGGGAAGGATGGGTAATTATTTATACATATAATGAGCAAGAGGCAGAGGATAAGGGGACGGAAGAACTTTAAGCCAAAGATTTGGCCAGGGAATCACAGCACAATTGACTGGGTGAAGGGAGTTCCAGACAATGTGGGCAGTAGATGAGAAAGATAATCCTCAAACAAAATGACATATTTCCTGGGGGATTCGACAGGAGGCCCTGGTTGCTGGAGCGGAGTGCGTGGAGTGAGATGAGAGAGGAGAGCTAAGCGGTGGCTAGGGATATCTGAAACGGTTCTGGACATCCTGCCCTTCAACAGCCTGTGCTGACCAGAGGGGCAAAGTGTAGTCAAGCCACCGCAATCACCGACACAGCATGGGGAGGATTTCATTCAGCAGCTGATTGACAAAGGGCTGTAAATTGTCATTAAATTAATGTTTGTTGTTACGAACAGTATTTTTGAGTGTTATGCCATTACACGCGTGGATTTTTACGGCTATGGCTTCTCACAAGCAACACACACAGCTTCATGTGGAATTGTTTGAATATCCCAGATGCAGCAACTTCATGGAAAAGTCCTCGATATGGGTTTAGGCTTTTGTGAATGAACAACACCAAACTGACATTTGTGGTTTTCTACATTTGCGCAACTTCTCCGGTCCGTTTTCGTCTTATCCGTAAAACAACCGGGAAATTATTTTTTGTATTTTTTTCCCCAAACGTGTCAAGTGAGAGTCTTGTTGAAGGACTCAACGAGGCTCTTTCCCGGATGAGTAAACGACACGGCACTGTGTGCGGTGCGACCTTGTGTGCGGCGCAGGACTCACGCGAGGATGTTATGGACCTGAGCAGTGACCCGTGCCTGAGTCGCTCCAGCTCGGAGGCGTGCTCCACCAAGGAGACTCCCTGCTCCGAGGGCAAGAGCTCCCCGAGCCTGGAGCTCGATGACGATGATGAGGAGGAGGAGGAGGAAGAGCGGGAGGGGAGAAAGGTCCGGAACGACGATGATGACGATGACGATGACACTTCCGGCGGCTCCGACTTCCGGGAGTACGAGCGCTGCGTGTTGCAGGAGTGGCACGACGATGTGGAGGAGGAGCGGGTTCGGGCCGTCAGACTCCTCCGCTGTAACGACGACGACGATGGTGCTGGTGCCAGCGACCAGGTGACGGGAGGAGGAGGTCGTGCCGGTGATGGCCGCACCTCCCCTCTGCCCGGGCGCCCCACGCTGTCGCCCAACGCCAACTCGGCCCATGACTGCGGCGACAGTGGCGGCGGCGGCGGCGGTGCCGGCGTGAGCAGCGGCTCGCGCGGCCAGGACGTCGCCACCCCCCTACCCCGGCAACTTTCGCCCAACGCCAACTCTTCAAGCGTCCGGGGCGCTGGCACGGGGGCCAGCGGTGGATCGACGGGAGCGGCCGCAGCCAAAGCGGCCGGCAGTGGCGGGATAAGGGGGGGCGGCACTGCAACCGCCGTTGCCGCCGTTACTTCCAGTTCTGCTGCCGCTGCCACTACCGCCTCTGCAAATGTCACGTCCGACGGCGGCGTCGGCGACGATGATGGGGCTGACGCTCCTCTTCCCACCATGGATTGGGACGCGCTGGAGCGACACCTCGCCGGGCTGGCTGCTGAGCAGAGTGGGCGGCAAGGGGCGGCAGCGGCGCGGGCCGGCGGCTCCGGCAGCGCCAGCGGAAGTCCAGCGCCCTCTGTAAGTAACGGCACATCTTCCGGGCCTGTACCTTGTTCATTATTTGTGTTTAATGTAGTTAATGGGGAGGGTCGCAGGCGGCAGGGGGCGGGGTGGTCGGGGGGCGGTTGGACCGCACTGGATCGCTGAATCCAGCCGGATCTTCGAATGCACGTGCCGCTGTTTTCTCCACGAGTTGAGGCGTTTTTTAAGGTAAGTGAACTAACAGCCAATCGGAGAATGGCGTTGGCGCAAAGGGCTCGGAGCCCAAGGCTCCGCTTGGCAATCTCGTGACGGTTGAGCAATCGTGGTGCACCGCTTGCTTGATGCACTATGTGACCCTATCTTTTGTTAATTTGCGCTGTGGTGGCGTTCATGTGGTCACGTAACGTACGGAGGAACATGGCACTCAATGAACGCAAGTCACAATTCCAGCGTGATTTCACCCACACCTTCGATTAGCACGGTGGGCTACGTACGGTGCAAAATAAGTTGAACATATATACCTTTTTCTGTCCTCTCAGAATGATTACGTGACGTCAAATCAACGCGTCCCCTTACGCACACAAGCATGGGATCATCTCCATTGGCGACCCTAAACAAGTCATGGAAACTCCATATTCCTATGGTGGGGGCCAGTCTATCCATAGAACAAACATTGTTCACTTGCCATTGTACCCTTGAGTAGTAAGAATGGCATATTTGGAACTTTCATGTTCTTTCGTAACAAGGTAGAGTATTGGAAAAGAGGACTTTGAACAGAATGGCAAGAGACACAATTATAAATAAAGATTTAAGAATGACAACTAGTATAACATGCAATATACAAAGTAAAAAAAAAGAAATTGTTGGGCAGGACTGTCTCGCTCGGAGATTAGATGGCAGATGGAGAAAATTAATAACAGAACGGAAGCAGAGAGAGGGTCGAAGGAAGGGAGCTGGACAGAAAGTTAGATGGCTGTGAGCAGGTTGAAAGATGTATGTTTAAATTTCGATTTAAAGCTTTCGTGACCGCAGGGATTCATATTCTTGGTTCTTTCGGTAAAGTCACGTAGAAGGGAAATAATAAAGAAAAAAAATTATCACGACGTTTCAAATTTTCTTTCCGTGGTTTTCACACCTGATGATGATTGCTTGTGTTGCAATCGAAACGTCGTGAGAATTGTATTGTTTAATTTTTATTATTTTATTATTTCCCTTCTACGTTACTTTATCGAAAGAACCAAGAATATGAATAAGAATATGTATGTTTAACTTCTTTCGGACGGTACGTAGCCAACCGTGCTAATCAGAGATGCAGGGGGGAAGTGTACTGGATAGAGGTGGCAAGTGATTGTGAAGAGTTGGACACATTTGGGGAGGCCTTTTCCCCAATAGTGGGACGTTAACGACTTAGAAAGAAAGAGGAACGATGATGATGATGACGACGACGACGACAATGACCCTTGGCCGGGATTTGAACACGCAATTCTTTCCGATCGTAAGGCTCGCATTCATTGGCAGCAGCGTTGTGTTTTGTCAACGAATCGTTGGAGTGGACGGTGACCAAATTAAGTTAAAAGTTTTTTTTTCACCCCGGGCCTGAGCACCGCAAGGCCCCTGCGATAAATCTTATCGACTTCGCTGCGCGCTGTAACTAAGAGCCTAATTTGCCGGTGGCATTTTCCCGCGCACGCTAAACGAGCGCTCCGCATTATTACGCTCATTAATGCGCGCCGGCCTGCTCATTAAGACGGCACAAAGGGCTTTAGCTGCCTCTTTAATTATTTCACGTTTGTTTTGGTTTATTTATTTCTTTCGGCAGAGCAGGAGAAGCCAGAAGGGATAGAGAAGTACAAAAAAATATGACCCCCCACCTCCCGTAGTATTGATCGGCAGTCTAATGAAGGGGCGATGAATAGCGTGTGTGCTTAAAGATTAATGTGGGCCAAGTTTAATTAGCAGTTGATGGGTGGAGGGGAAGGCGGGGAAAGGGCAGATTCACGTATTAAGCGATGAGAGCCCGGTAATGGGCCTCAAGCTGTCGACGCTGAACGTAGCAAACCCTACGACCACAACGGGGAGAATTTGGCCCGGTTTAACCGCGTGGCCTGTGTCTACGACTTCATTCATTCACCGTCGTTGTCATCAGCAGCAGCCATGCTTTAGCGGTTGCCGGATGGTGGCTTCGCAAAGCCGTCGGCCACCTCTCGTGGTGCCACGATGCGACACTCCGTCTCGCTGCGGCGTGCGACCCCCGATCCCATCGCCCAGTCCGCCGCTCTCGCCAACGGAGAGGCCGGCCGTCTGGCCGGCTGGTGCCATTGAACAACGACACGGTGTGGAAGCCAGAGGAGGGGAGCAATGACCGGGAGGACGAGGGTTTCACTGATCTTGGAGGTGTGGGGTTGGTGAATGTACGTGTCCGCGTGTGATGAACTTCTTTCGCACCGTGCGTAGCCAACCGTGCTATTCGGAGGTGCCGGGGCGAAGGAGAACAAACTAAACAAATTACTCGGGGATTGAGCCGCTGCAGCCTATGGAGACCGTGCTCGTAGGAGGCAGTTCAGCTGATTGGTTGCTGATAGGCGAGCCATATTATTGGGCTTTAAGTGCCATTCATTTAAGTGCACGTGTGGGTTTTATCTCGGCACTCCGCTTTCCGTCCCCATTAAAGAAGAGGAGTCATTTAGGATTATGCTGAGATAGCTCTTCATTTTTAAAATGTGGTTGTTGGGGGCGGTGTGTCAAAATTTTATGATTGGGTTGTAGCATCCGCGCCGAATGTTCTCTTCTTGCGGGTGGGGGCAGGGGTGATGCCACATGGGTTTCCAAGTTCGCTTTGCACGCACGCAACACCGGCCCTGTAGCCTGACCATGTTTAAAGGGGGGCGAAAAAAACATTCGGGCAGGGTGAGGGGGCGGTGGGAGCAGGACAACAATTAAACAGAATGAGTGACGAAGCGGTCTGCCTTCTAAACACGTAGGAGGCTTTCGCGACCAATATCATCCATAATAGAGGGTTTTTGTGGGTTAGCTCGCGGAAATATATAAATGTGTCGTTAAAACCCGCCGCCACCAGCCGACACAGCCAACTAGTAAGGGTTGTCACGTAAACAGAACGTGGCCAATTCGTCACTAGTACAGCAACACCGGTGTGTTGGAGAGCCAAGCCACAACGTTTACAATCCGAGTACGACGTTTCACCAGTAATTACAACCGGCTTCATCAGGCGACGGCCAGATTTGTGGAGAAGTCCACCCGTGTCGTTCCTTACGTAGAGGCGTAGATTTGGTGGCCACGCTTCTGCGCTCTTGCGCAAAGTGTAGGGGGGGGGGATTAATGTCGCAACCCAATCGGGGCGGCCTGCAAGATTTGAACCTTGAACCTCCGCAACAAGTGGCAAATGCCCTACCGCCCGGCCGTGTCACCAGGCTAAATGGGGACGTTGCGTGAGATGGCCTTCCTTCAAACAGAACGTTTCTCTCGTATGGTGGTTGCAGTTCCAGCACCGCGTGGTGTAAACACACGTGCAGTACATTACTCCATTGCCTCATCTAGTTGCTACTCTAACGCGTAAATTATTGAACGGACAGCATAACACATCCACATTTACGTTCACTATTTATGAGACTACTTATGCTCACGTGCAAAAAAGACAAAGATCCCCCCAGTATAGCCTTAACAGACTTTTGCGGCAAGTGCTGTTAGCGAGCTCCTCTAAAGGCCGAAATGGCACACGAGGGGGTGGGTGGCTAGCACCACGCCCAGCCGCCTTTGTCTCCCTAATGGCGATGTTTTTACACATCGCACCAGGTACTCAATTGAGGCTGAGTCGACTTCTGGGAGGCCCAGGACTGGTTCATATAGTCGTCACTGAGTTAGCCGTGATCGCTATTCGAACTTGAGTGGTCAGGTTCGTGGCCCAGTCTGCTTACCACTGCGCTACCACAAAGACCCCCCATTATAGCCTCAACAGACTGCTAGGGCAAGTGCTGTTAGCAAGCACCTCTAAAGGCCAGCACCGCACACAAGGGGGTGGGTGGCCAGCAACACGCCGGGCCGAATTTCTCTCCCTAATGACAATGTTTTACACATCGCACCAGGTACTCAATTGAGGCTGAGTCGACCTAGGGGAGGCCTAGGACCGATTCAGATAATCGTCACCAGTGTTGGACGTGATCGGGAATCGAACTCGGGTCGCCGGGTTCGTAGCGCAGTGCGCTAACCACTACACTACCGCTCCCCATATGCTACCACACACACATACGGAGACAAAAACAGTTATTCCTCATTTTAGCCCAATTGACTGTTGGGCCTAGTGATGTTGGTGAGCTCCTCATAAGGTCTACACAGTTTGGCCAGAACTACTCACCTGTTTACCGTTGTCTCCCCAGTGTAGACACTGTTGATCATCGATTATCCGGCTGCTTCCAACATTATCCGGCGGTCCTGGGCTGATCCGGCGAACCCGGCAAAACTGCTCCAAAGGCTGTCACCCAGTCCGGCTATCGGCACCGCATGCGTGACAAAAAAAAGTAGCTACGCTTGATTTCAGTGTTAAATATTATATACAATACATTATACACTACATACAATTTAAACAATGTTAATACCGCACGTATATACATCATCCCATGCATAGTCTTCGAGATTGGAGTGGTAAGTAGGGTACATTAAATACAGTATCTTTTTGTTTATTTATTCATGCCAAGTTCAAATAGTAAACAAATTTTCAACACAAATAAAAACTACATATATCGACACCTAAAACATAATGTCATGCAATAAGGTGCAAAAATAAGCTTTTTTAAATAATGATGTAGTGATCCGGCGTTTTTGGAAAATCCGGCGCGCCCTCCTCCCCCCTCCCCGCGAAGCCTCCGGATAATTGATGATCTACTGAATTTAGATTGCATCAAGGTACTAATTTAGAACTGAGCTGAGCTAGGAGAGACCACTCGTCACTCGTGTCAGCCACGGCCAGTAATCGATCTTAGGTGTTCGGGTCCTTGGCGCAGTGTGCCCGAATAAAAACACGG